CCGCGGGGCTCGTGAAATCGAGTCCGGCCTAAAAGAAGTACCATTAAAATCCCATTAAACCCCCATCTTTCCTCAGGAATTGAAAATTTAAACCAAAATGAATGCGGCCGGGACCCTGCTCCTTCTCCTCCACAGCTGAGGAACTGTGTCTGAATGTGGCGGTGGCTTGAGGCGGCTGGCTGCCCGCAGCCTCAGCACACGGCCACCTGAAGGACAATTTATGTGTATATAAAGGACAATATATGTAAAAAAGAGGACACTGATTGTGATGGGCAGATGGTAAGTACCACGTCAACGAACTTCACAGTGCTGGGCAGTGTGGAAAGGAACTCCTTTGTGGAAATTTACTGGTCAGTTATTCCTGGCTCCATGTAACAAGAACCACATTTATCTTCTTTCTTCTCCCTCCTCCCCCCTTCTTTTTTTTAATTCTTTCTTGGAAAAGTTGAAGAGACAGGACTCCTTGAAGCGAAAGGTTCGCCCGGTGGGAGCTGGCTGCCTCTCCCGCCCAGGGTGTCTCCGCCTGCCTCCATGGCGTTTGCTCCCTCTGCATTGCCCTTTCTCCTCATCTTCCAGACCTGTCCAGCTAGCGAGTCTTCACTCTGAACTTTCTGGGTCCTGTTTGCTTCTGGAGTACTTTCTCATCTGTTCCGAAGCTTTGGTAGAGTGTTTTTCCTGATTTACTCAGAACTGGTTGGACTCAACTGTAAAGACTGATACAGTGAAAAGCCAGCATGAAGAAAGAAATCTTCATTGCACTTAGTTTTTTTGAAAAGCACAGTTTGGGACCAGCTGTGCGTGCCTTTCATAGAGGCAGAATGCCACATAATTTTAAAAGCTGTAGCTTGACTTGTAGCCTTTGGGTTATACAAGTGTTTCTTTAGCGAAAGCCCTAGATCTGTCCCTGCAGCACACAGCATCCAGAACAGGGGCCACAAACTGGGCTTCAACAGATACAGTAAATAGTGATAACATGGCTATAGAAGCCCACCTGTACCTACTTTACATTTTTATTTATCTATAGAAAAATATCCAATAAATGTTGTGCCGTGAACTGCTGATCTAGAATGTTTTACAGACAGCAGATCATTTAAATACATATATTTAAAGGCTTATTTATCTCCAAACCAATTTGGGATGAAATTGTTGTTTCTCACGATTTTCAGCTGGTGTCTTATTTTGCCACATTTGACCTAGAAAGCTCCCTTAGCATTTTATTACAGTATATATTATGATGCAACTAATGTAACCCATGTGGTATAACATTATCTGTCGGGGGTGCGGGGGTAAGCAGATACTCAAAAACCCTTGTGAAAAGAAATCTTCATAGCAAGAAATATCTTATTGGTCTGGATGGGCTGTATCAGCCACACTTACCCCTTTACTTGAAACATGAGGTGAAACGCTGTCTTTCTCAAAATTGTGCGTAAAACCAAACTGATTTTAAGAGCAGCTTTAAAATATACTTCCTTTCTTTTATTGGACTTACTGTTACAGCCCATAAACATTTGGGGTCAAAAGCTCACTTCCTTAAAATATGCCAAATGGGATTAGTCTTGAACTTCTAAGAAGTAAATATTAGGTGGAAACTGGTGTTTATTTATTTCGTATGGAGGGCATCATGATTCTCATTGGTAGCTTGTTGTTCACATAATTAGTCCCATTTAAGTCACTGCGGGATTTTTATTGTCTGTCACACACTGCGGGTTTGTTACAGTAAATGCTGAATGACAAATGTTAATATATTTTTAAAAAATAAAAATACTTACAGGGAGACTCAACTTCCAAGTGACTCCCCATCCCATTTTTTCCTCTGTGTAAGTCCTTTCTTCCCCAAAACGAGCACTGGGAAAACAAATGCATCTCACCACATGAAGTCAGCATTGCCAAATAAGTTGGACTCAAGGGGATGGGGCTTTGGGGAGCAGTGGCTGGCTGTGCCTTGCTGCCAGTTTCCTGCTCCACTGCTTCCTTAACTTGAGAGGCTGGTTTTACAGGCCAGCAGATTGCAGCATTTGTGGCGTGCATGCCACCGCTCGGAAAAGTTGCTGGTGCTGCTTTGGAGCACGTTGACTCCAGCGCCAATGTGCTCGGTGGGCAGGAAGCCTCAGGGGACCAAGGTCAGTGCAGCTCTCATCCCTGCGCCCATCCTGTCTCCCTCCAGGTGCAGAGTCTGGCTGCTGAGCACCCTGACAGCGGCTGGTGACAGCTTGGTGTCGCAACGGGTTATGCAGGAACAGCAGCAAAGATGTATGCATGCCCTGAGTGAAGGCTCCGGTGCTGGACAAAATCGAGCAGGTAACAATGTTGGTCTGGTGGAAGTAAGGCAGAAGTCAGCTGGTCGGTTGGTAAGAAACATGGCTTATTCGTGTGCCTTTCTTGGAGGATGAGGTGAGCAATTCCAGCAGGGTAGTACCGTATTTGTAAATGTGCTTATCAGCCTGTTCAGAGCATATTTGAACACCAAAATTTTTACAGTGCACAAAGAACTGCCTCAAGGAAATGAAGATCTGGGCTCCAATATTTAGAAATATAATTGTGCTTGGTAATGAAGGGTTAATTCAGCTTCTGCCTTTCTTGAATGTGCATTTCTTTCACTGGGGAGGCCAAGTATTTAGGACCCTCCCACACTGGAAGCAAAATTAGGCTCAGCATGCCTAAACATGTTTGTTGCTCACAGGGTTTTAACTTTATTTCCTTGAACAGTAGCAGCAGAGACATTTTGTCTGGGAAGCATGTTAGAAGGACGGGAAAAAGACCAGTCCAAGAAAACGATGGTCATTGACTTGTTTTGTTCTCTAGCTCAGAGCTTCACAAAATACAACTGTCTCTCATTAGCCCGGCAGAGTAGATCTACTGGCCGCGGACAAGTATGTTTCAGAAAGGCTCCCTGATAACGCCAAGTGTGCGGGAGAGAGGGGAAGTCTCTCCCGTTGTTACAGCATTTAATACAACATGACTAACCAGTTCTCAGAAAAATAATTCCTCTTCGCCCTGCTAGTAAAAACCACTGGGACTTGCTTCTCTGCTGCCACGAGCCTTGTGGAGGCATTTACACCTGTGAAAGCCAATGAAAAACGTAGTTATTAAATATGCTGGAATGGGTTTAGTAACGTCTCCATGCAACTTGCACAGAAGTAAATGATGGTGCAGGACTGGAAAGTCAAGGTTTGTTTATTGAAAGCAGTCCTTCCACTCCCAGGGTCAGGCCTGTGGTTTGGAAGATGATACAGACAAGGTCTCAGATGAAAAACAGGTTGTGCTTGTACTTTTGAAATCTTCATTATAATGTGTTCTTGTGAGGATTAACATTCTGTAGGACGTCTTCTGTTTTATACAGTTAATCTGACGCTTGCCAAGTCATAGAAGAAATGGTATATGAAAATTAATTTTGTTCCTCGTTGTTCTATTTACTTTGGAGGTCACTTCTCCTTTCCTCTTTATGCAATGTAAGCAAAACCCACCGGAGCAGAGCTTTGATCTATCGGCAATCACAAACCTCATTAAAACTGACAGGCACACTGGCCATGCTTTGTTCAGGAAGAAGCAATTAAGTTCTTTTATGGCGTAAGATAGCTAAAAACTAGAAACCGCTGCCCACGGCACAGGGCTACATGGCCAAGCGCTAGGATGAGCTAACTCGTATGAGCAAGCACTAATTTGGGGAAAGTCAGAGAGATTTCTCTAGGGACTGCTTGTGAACGCAGCGGCAAGAGCGCAGATTGGTTGCAGCTGTGTTTGCCTGTGTGCATGTCCGGGACCGGAAACACCACGCGAGAGCCAGCAGACAGTGGGAGAAGCAGTGGTGCATGGCCCTGAGAAA